AGCTCTGCTTTGTATGCAAATCAACTTAAATAGTTAGTTGGTGTCCAGTGGAGGGAGAAGTCAACAGTACTGTTGCCTCCTGAGAATCTACATCTTCAAACACTGCAATCTTGAAGTGCGTTTTTAAACTAGTATTATAAAAACTCTATCATTCTGTTCTAATAGCTGAAACATATTCCTGTGAGTTTACATTTGTCAAATGAACTGTTTGTCAAATACAGAATACATATATTTTACCTTTTAAAATGTGGATGAAATGTTTTATGTATTGTTTTTGATTTGATAACTTTGAACTAAACAGATTTTCTATTAGCTTCAGATCGTGATCAAAGTTAGGCACCCAGTTCATAGGAGTGCTTATATTGATTTTCTGACATCTTGTTTTCTGTAAAGATTTTATTGGTAGGTTTGCAAATGTGTATCAGACTGTGCAATCTCTCCATGAGTTGGTTTTGAAACCCAGTATGGGATTCTGAGATACATTACCAAGGATATTATTACAAGATAAATCATTTGCTTCATTGAACACATACAACAATGCACATTTCCACTGAGATCAGTGACCTTTGATGTGTATCACCAGTGATCAGTCAAGTAGAAACAGTCAAAATATTTTATCAGATTTTCTTAATTTGTGCATGATATTTTCATACAGGACATCTGTTGTTCAAACTCAGGGAAGACTTTATACTGATGAATAAGGTGATCAAGTTTGATAAAGTTTGGAATAGAATTAGTAAAGTTATTATGCACACAATAACAATTATTAACGACGACGACGATGACGACAACAACAATGACAACGCCGGACAAAATTTTTCCCTTAATATACCTTTCCCTTCCATCTTTGATGGTACGGGCAAGGTAAAAATTGAAATGAAACATAAAAGTAACAGATTCATGAAAAGTATTATATATTACTGTATGTTTATTAGCTGCAATGTATTTTTTTTCCACAAAAAAAAACAATTATGTTCAATTGAAATCAGGCTAGTGTTGCCTCATAGATTCACATACACCTAAAAAACAATTTGGAGTAGTGTAAGACATATTTATAAGTTTGCAGTTTTTATTAGCTGCTTGTGGACCTTCAATATCAGATTTATTAAATTTCTGTGTAATTTACTTCACTCATTCTGATATTGTTAGCTCACTCATGAGATATCTATACATCTGATTCAACTTCCTAGCACGCTCACCTGCAGCTGTTGAGACAGTTCATTTTCATTGTGGAAAACCAAACCATTTTCTTCATGTTTCACCAACTCATCAAGACTATTGAGAAAATCAAAGGTATTTATTATGTTAAATTAATAGCTATAAACAGGTTATTACAAAAGAAATAAATAAATACATAAAATACATTTGTACTAGTA